CCCTGGTCAGAATATTGATTCTAGTTGAAGAAAAGTTGAAAACGTTGAAAAAGACGCTTCAAGATTGGATGTTGTTATAAATGTAAATACGCTATAGTCCAAATTGCATATTTGAACATCATAAACTAGTTATAAAGAACTTATAAAATTTATAACAGTAATTACTGGAACTGTAATTACTATATTTCACTGAAATAAATAAACGATTATAATTTTTGGAACTTAAGAGTGATTTTACAGTATATTGAATGAATAGTTGTAATCTGACAAACACCTTTTTTTGTTCGCTCTGTGAGAATGAAGCAGGTACAGCATCGTTAACGATAGTAAAATTCTCGTTTAAGTTTAGTTCATTCATGAAATTTATTATTAAAGACTAGATTTCATGAACAACATTTGAGTTTATGTTTTATGTTACCTATTAAGTTTGAAATGTGGCTAAATGTGGTGTTCGTAAATTAGCCTGTTATCTTGCACATTAACCAGACAGTTCGGTTATAGCTTTATGAATGGCGACGAATAAGTAATTTCGGGTTTCGTTCGGTATTACGTAAAGGACGCAAGCTAAAGTAGTTCTGTGAAGTGATCGTTGGAGAGTACTCCTTGGGATCTCCCGTCAGGAAGTGCCCCCTCCCCATCGACAGCGTGCTAGCCTTCTGTAAAGCGACCCCAAGTTCGAATGCCGACCGGAGAAAACTGAAACTGTAACTGTCGTCTCAGTTTATGTAGCTGTGGGACAAAAGACACCGCAGGCTATCCAAAAGAATTTAAATAAGTTATGGAGAATGCGATGTACTTGTCTAAGTCTCGGAACACCGCTAGCTAGACAAACGTTGCATGAATCTGACTCTAAAACGACAAATACATTTATACATTAAAGGTGAGTGAAGAAATTTGTGTTTTCGAGAAAACTGTAGTATCCAGTCATTTGGCTCGACAGCCGAATATGGATCTTGGACAAACATTCGTGAAAACTATTCGGCATAAAAAGCGTAGAAGAGTTGCACTGTATAAGACTAATCGCTCCAACTCTTATATTTCCAAGCTAGCGATATAGTTAGGTCAAATGAAACCGCTGACTGGAGGATAATTCTAGCGGCCGGGTGCTCTGATAGGAAGTTTTTCTTGGTTTCTCTGAATCCATTCCTTGGTTTCACCAAGCAAATGCTGGAGCATCGCGGGCCAGGGCCGCCGCGATCATTCGTTCTTTCTTGTTGTCATATCCTCTTCCCTTACACTTACACTATCATGCACTACACTGCCACCCATGACAAGAGACTAGTCGAGAGTGCTGGTGGAGTTGGGGCGGTGTATCAGTGTGGGAAGATCTCTAGATGGCGAAATCCCTCGCAAGCCGGCGGGCAAGTCGGTGCAGGACCTCATCATCCACCGGGAAGAATACCGCCGTCGCCGTAGTTAGAAACATTGATTATTCTAAAGGGACTATTGGCCCTAGCAGCTGACATGCCCGGAAACCTCAATTGATCAACTAAATCGTAAATTCATAGCGTAGCGTTAACTTAGGCGTTAATGAAATTAGAATAGATTAAGTAGTGTCGTATAAATAGAAATTTACGGCCGACAGAGTGGAACTTGACTGACTGAATAATTATTCGCGTTTCCGAGCCCTTCAACTTGTATGGCCATTAGTCCCTTCTGTGCGTTGCATTAGGTCTCGGGAGGTGCCGGCGTTTCTCCCCCGCGAGAATCAGGATGGGAGTCACTTCGCCAGTTGTATGTCAGACGAGGCAAGCACTGCTCTCCAACATGTGTGCTAATGAAGTGCGTTTGAGTTTCAGTGTGTATTTGCGTGTAAGGGGCGAGGCAGAGTCAAGGATGAGGAGAGAATGATTGCGCTCTCTCTTACCGGTGGTCTATGGTAAAATTACGGCATTGGCATTGGCTTAATATATATTTGTTTGATCGGAGAATAGATGGAAAGAAACTTGAATGCCAAAAGGTGAATTACATTTCATTTAGAACTGAACACCCTTAAATAATTATTTACATAGACACTCTTATCCCAGCTTGTAAAAAATGAGTGGATGGCTTCGTGTAAAAACCTCTGGGTTTCTGACGGGTCCTCTGTTCCGCTTGGCCTGCATGTCCTCATCGGAGGAGAATCACTGACCTTTTAAAAGACATTTAAAGGGCCAAAGATATGGGAATCGCATGGAGAGATATCGGGGCTATAAGGAGGTTGTTGCAGGACCTGGCAGCGAGTGAACCTGGAGTGACCTGGCAGCGAAGAACGTGAGGTTCTTCTTGGGCACACCTGAGCTTGGTGTGGATGATGTGTTCCTTTGCTTATCGCCAATTCAACAGCAATTTCACGTGTGGTGATCCGACTATTCTGCTGTATGAGCTCATTCACAGCCGCAGTCGTGGCATTGTTGGTCAATGGATATAAAAGAATTGAAAATATGTTTTTTGTTAATAATACAGAAAATAGACATTTGAAAACGGATAACAGTGAGAATAAAAATAAATTTGAAGAAAAGAATGTGACATGTTCGATTATGGAAAAGGTCTTCAATATGATTTCTATGAATACAATTATATGAATTTATCATTTGAAAAAAAAATTAATTTAATGTAAATGTCAATGCGTGAATTATTTATGGCCTAACAATGGTATAACTTTATGAACCCATTCGAAAAATATTTTCTGGTTGGCACTCACCGACAATTTGGGAGACGTTAAATGTAATTGCTCATTATAGGATGAGCTATCATTGAAGACACGCAATACACTCAGAAGATGACGATTGTCTGACTATTATTTGTGTATGTTTGCCTATTGCTTATGACGAACCTATACACATTCATATGAATTACGGCCTCTTTCTTTGTTGGTGTTTGTTAATCGTCTATAACAAAGATTCCTAATTCATCAGAGGAAGCTTCTGCATACGGAAGTGACGGCGGAGAATCTATCTGAACTAGTGATGCTACAGCCGAACATACTTTCTCGTATTAATGATAACTGTTACATAATATTATTCACAGTGTATTCACATTGGGATAAAGACACATTTCAATATAAAAAATCTCACAAAATCTGGATTCTGACAGCAGCACAAATTCCATAAAATTATTTATGAAACATAGGAGCAACAACATTCACATTTTTTTGTATTAGGTACCCTTTAAAAGTGTTTTATGTCTAAAAATAGGAACTTTGCCTTGTAGATATTCACATTCTCTTTCTACAAAGTAGATAAGATCTATGCATTTTACAAAGAAGACACATACGAATATAACATTTCACTTATACTCATACATACAAACACACACATGTATACAGGGACATAGACACACAAAGGCAGACAGACATACATTCAAACATTTTAGAAAGAAACTGAGACATTAAAAGTGACATAATGACCCTTCCGTTGGGGGATACACACGGTTTAAATAATAAAGCTGATGCTTGATTTTGCTGAAACGGTGAATTCAAATATAGATTGAAATTTTCTTGAAGTTACCACGTTCTATCTCATAGTATTTGGTCAGAATCTTATATTATTAAATATTTGAAAGTGAGAGAAATGAACACACGCATTCTTATGTTTAAACGACATGCCATCGTAGCATATTTTTATATTTGTTTGTGTAATTTATGGTTTTTAAAATGACAATGAAATTAAAAATGCTTACATCTTAAAACTGTTGTTTCGTATTAATGTTCTGATCAAACACCATATAATATCATGATCAGAGGTATGTAAATGTTAATTATTTTTTATATAAATTAAAGTATCTAATTATATTACTTTTATGTAAAATATTTCATCAAATCGGCCGGTAATTAAATGTACGATTACGAAATGTTTCTTGGTAACTATATTGAAGTAATCATACACAACATGACGTTTATATAACATTGCAATATGTCATCTTGGACACCCAGAACTGGCGGCCGAGTACTATAGGCTATCGAACGAGGGAATCAGACGATGTAAACAAACCGGAATATGTCCCTTCGCTGAAACTCTGGCGCCTCGTTCTAAAGGGTCTCTAGTTCGAGTCCCACTGTGGCCACAGGGACATTGTTTGTCCCTTGTCTTTCATGAATGTGTATTGTCGCGGAAGGTCTTGTGAGTCTGCTAACTAGACCGAGGAGCCCACACCTAATATCCTACAATTTGTAATGAGTTTTACAAAAATGATGACAGATATGTCGGAGAGAAATTGCGGCATAAATAGAATTATTTGACCATTGCTAAGGGTGGAAAATTATGTCCTGTTTTAGCACCACTAGGTTATTTTTGCTTTTCATTTCCATTAGTGTTTAAAATGTGTAGAGTGTAAACTACAGTGTGCAATGTGCAGTGTGTTGCTTTTGTTATGTGCATGTGCCCCGTTTTGTACCGTCTTTTAGTCAAGAAAGTGTCATTGTGCCGTTTTTACTTCCTTGTATACGTATGTAAATTTGGTTATGTA